AGACAGTAACAGAGAACCCTGAAGCAAGTTGTTCACAACAAAGTTTGTGAGATACTCAAACCAAAGACCACGACATAAACAAGGAGGAATCACGTGGATGAGTAATTGTATCAATAAGGTTACTAACGGATCGAAATAAGTTAAATCATGCTAGTTATAATTCAAGTCCGTGCCTAGCGTCGCACGAATGAGAAAGCCCATGCCCTCTGCAAATAATTCGTCCATGTTAGAAAGAGAAGTCGCTGGTTTTCCTTGCATATCGCACTAGCTGCCCGAAGAAATGCATCTTGTGGAAGGTCCATGAACATTTTCAGAATGCGCTAAGCTTCGTACAGGGTCAGTCTGCAATCTTCGCGGTAATCGGTAAGCTCGGCCCGCAACTCTTGAACTCCGCTACGAAGCTCATATTGAATGCGGTCTACCAACTCAGCATTCGGGGACGTACTAGATCGGCACCGACGAGGTACCCAACCTCCGGTTTGCATCAAAGAACTGGTAGGGAGTCCTTCATTGGTGGTTCCGTCGCCGCCGCCTTCACTGGTGCCTTCGTCATTCCCATGTCCACCCCTCATTGTGGACGGCCCTGCCGATCGCATCTCAGTACCCTCGGTAGTGTCCATGCCTTGTGGCGGCGCATTATTGGATTGAGTATCGGCTCCTGTGGTAGACTGAGGTACAAACATATCATGAATATAGTCAAAGTGGGCGAACAGACGCGACAGTAAATGCCTATACCCGGGGTGTGCTTGCCATTATGCGATTATGAGTATCATGCTCTTCTCTCAAAGATCATTAGATTAGATGCATACCATTAACCACGCGGCCTTTTGCGCCTCGCTTGCATCGATAAGACCTGTCTCTGAGTTCCAACCTAGCCCTGTCTGTCGAACAACAAGGTATCGTAGTAGACAATACGAGGTTTTCATCCGCTTAAACTTTCCTTGGAGTTGTTCCAACTCGTAGTTGCAGTCCGTCTCTTCATGGAATTATGTAACTCTCTGTTGCCAAACCTCCGGCATGAAGTTACCCTTGCAAAGTTCCTCAGCTAGCCAATGTAATCAAAGGATGTACGTGAAGTACAGCTCTAGCTTTTAAGTCCAATTTGCAACAGGTTTGCATAGAACAACACGGTCTGCCCGTCGGCAAGGCATCTGTCGGAAGTGAAGCGACGGAATGAGATACATGTCAAAAATCTAGGCAAATCAACTACTCACGATTCGTAACAGGGGACCCATCCTCAAGGGATTTCTTATTAATACCTCGTGTTTTCTCTTACAACGACACAACACTCGACTACTCCCTACGGAGCTTTCAGCGTCGGGGATTTCAGGGGCGTCCAGATTTGCACGCTTTGGTAAGATAATAATGGAATTGCGTAGGTTAATGTGTGTTCAGTGTAAAGTGAACACGATACACAAAATAACGCATTTAAAATTTGAGAACGAAAACAAGGAGAGGAAGGAGACCGTTTCACTGTACTGCCTACGCGCTAAGAAGTAATGAACAAATAACCCTACGAAGGAAGCGTACATCATTGTCATTGTTCCCGTCGACAGTAACCACCCCACACTAGCCTCACAGCATAAGCTTTTGTTGTATTGTAAGGCTTCTTTCCCGATGTACGTACTTAGGGATGCCCCTACTGTGCAACACGGGAAAACCATTAATGACAGTGCAAAATGATCTCGATCGGAACAATTATTTGCAAGAAACATGGAGAGTGAACGGTACAACGGTCTTGCGTTGCGACCAATCCACACATATGTAATGGGAATAAGTCGTACAATACTTTATCTATTGGATCGTCGCCAACTCAGTACATGCAACCATGTGGGACATCACAAACAGCATGTTCTGTGTATGCTTAGGCTTGTAGTTAGATCGGGGAGTAGGCAACATTGGTGACGCAATTGTGAGGTGCTTCTAACTACGAAGCTGCCTCTACCACACCTGCACTTCCAAATTGTTACATGGAGCCTACGGTTAACGACTCAATTGGATATCAAACAAACTTGATACACCCACACGTCTAGGAGGAAATATCTACGAACATGTGCCTTCTACGAGTCATCTTGGATCTTCTAAATGTTTCAAAAAGCTCACAGGTCGAGAATAGTAATCTATATATATGGACGCGTATGATACAAGTGATTGCGAACACGTAAATGATATCGAGAATAAACTAGTCATTACTATGTACTTTATGAAAACACATGGGCATATTGGGTCGTTAGTGCAACCTTCTTTCGTTAAATACTCAGTGAGATGGTTATACCACATGCGTCCAAATTATTTAAGTGCATACAAAGACTTTTGTACTTTGATAGAATAACATTCTCTTGGATTTGATTTGCATGCTTCAGACATGTTATATCCTTCAGGGATTTTCATGTAAATATCATTTTCCAGTGAGCCATACAAGTAAGTAGTGACTACGTCCATGAGGCCCATGTCAAGTTTTTCATGCACTGCTAGGCTTACGAGGTACTAAATGTAATACCATCCATAACTGGAGAATATGTTTAATCATAATCAATCCCAAGTCTTTATGAGAACCCTTGGGCTACAAGTCTCACTTTGTATCTGACAATTTCATTGTCTTCATTTTTTTTTCTCACAAATACCTATTTGCACCCAACTGGCTTAACACATTCTGGTGTTTGAATTATAGGTCCAAAGATATTTCTTTTGGCCAGTGAGTCTAGTTCAGACTGGATCGCATATTTCCATTTTGGCCAATCGTTTCTTTTCCGACATTCATCAACTGATGTTGGTTCGGGATCCTCGTCATTTTTCATTATATCAAGTGCCAAGTTATATGCAAATTCATTATCGATGACTATTTCATTGCGGTTCCAACTTTTATTTGTAGTGATGAAGTTAATTGAATTCTCGATAACTTTATTTTCTTCTGAAGTGGGCTCTTCAGGAGCATCCTCTTCAAAGATTTGTTCCTTGTCACTACAAATTATTTGAGGAATTGAATAATTAATCAATACTCTTTTCTTTCAGGGATTCTTATCCTTGGAACCTATAGGTCTGCCACGCTTCAGGCATGTAGAGGATTCATTGGCATTTTTCATTTGTCATTCTGGGATATTTAATTTTTCCGGAGCATTTGCTGCAGGAATATATGACTTGGTGACTTTGCTAGAGTCATTAAATGCATCCGATAACTGATTTGCAATTTGTTGCAAATGTACAATTCGTTGTACTTCTAACTCACACTGTTGTGAACGAGGATCCAGGAAATTCATAGGTATTTTCCAAGAAATTTTCTTTTTCAGTTGATTTTGTTCTCCCCCTAATGTTAGGAAATTTGTTTCCTCAAAAAGAGTATCTGCAAATCGCGCAGTAAATAGATCACCCGTCACTGGTTCAAGGTATTTAATTATCGACGGTGATTTGTACCCGACATAGATTCTCAATCGATGTTGGGGACCCATTTTTGTATGTTGAGGTGGTGCAATCGGTACGTAAACCGCGCATCCAAAAATCCTCATATGAGAAATATTGGGCTCTTTTCCAAACACTAATTGTGTTAGGGAGTATTTCTGATAACTTGTCGGTCTAATTCGCACAAGTTCTGCTGTATGTAATATTGCATGTCCCCAGACAGAGACGGGGAGTTTGAATTTCATCAATAATGGTCTGGAAATTAATTAGTCTTTTGATAAATGATTCTGCCAGACCATTTTGGTTGTGAACATGAGGAACAAGATGTTCAACAGTTATTCCCAAATTCATGCAATAATCGTCAAATGCTTGTGGTGAATATTCACTAGCATTATCGAGACAAATTTTCTTTATTGGATAATCAAGAAATTGCGCTCGCAATTTAATTATTTGTGCAAGTAACCTTGCAAAAGCAATATTACGCGTAGATGACAACAATACGTGTGACCATCTTGTTGATGCATCAATGAGCACCATAAAATATTTAAATGGCCCACATGGTGGATCTACAAGTCCACATATATCACCCTGAATTCTTTCCAGAAATGATGGGGATTCAGTCCCAACTTTGGTTGGTGACGATCTGATTATCAATTTGTCTTGTGAGCATGCAACACACGCGAATTCATTTGAATTCAAAATCTTTCGATCTTTCAATGAATGGCCAATGGAGTTTTTGATTATTTTTCTCATTATGGTATTTCCAGGATGCCCGAGCCGATCGTGCCAAATCGAAAATTCATTTGATTGCGTAGACTTCAGGTCTATTGCATATGTTTCAACGGTACTTATTTTGGCATAATACAAGCCAGAGGACAATGAGGGCAGTTTTACAAATGCACATTTATTTCCATTGATAATTTTTGTAATCACCAAATATTCATTATTTGCCTCGTCCATCGTTTCAATATGATATCCGTTTCTACGAATATCAATGAAACTCAGCAAATTTCTTCGAGTTCTACTCGAGAACATTGCATTTTTTATTTCAAGTCTGATTCCTCCAAGGAAACAAATAAGGGCCCTTCCGGAGCCTTCAATTGTCGCACTGCCACTTATTGTGCCGACTTTTGATTTTTTTAACTTCAGGTGGGAGAAATACTTTTTGTATTTTAATATCGTGTGCGTGGTCGCACTATCAATTAGGCAAATTTTGTCATCTTTATAATATGTATTATGACACATGGCATTCATATTATTTTCAGAATAAAACAAACAAAAAGACTTTATTAATATAGTCGATGGAATACAAAATGATACAAAAATAGGGGTATTACAAAAAGTAGAAGGGGTACAAAAAGTAATAAAGCAGTAAAGTGCAACATCACTTGGCACATTCAGGATGCTCAAGGAAGTCTGTTGTATCAAGATCCATAAGGTCGTTGTTTAGGACATCATCATATGTGTCATCATTATTCTGTTCAGCAAGGTTTACATCAGCGGATGTGTTCTTCAGAACATCATCATGTCATCATTATTCTGCTCAGAGAGATTTACGTCAGCAGACGTACTTTTTCCTTTCAGCGAAGTCTGGTACAAATCAGCTAAATGCTTAGGCGTTCGCGCGACCAGTGTCCCTTTGTGCCGCACCTGTGACACTTATCTTCATAATTTATTTTTTGCTCGTCATTTTGCCACTTCAGGGGCTTGTATGGTTTCTTGTCATTATTTTGACGAGGTTGGGGATGGTCGCGTTTTTGGCCCCTGCCATACCTCCCGCCTTTGTTGTTTCCACGGCCTAGATTTGCAGACTGTACCGCATTCGCTTCAGGGAATGGGCTAGAACCTGTTAACCTAGATGCATGATTTTTCAACAACAGTTGGTTGTTTTGTTCTGCCAACAAAAGACAGACAATAAGATCTGAATATGTTCTGAAGCCTTTCTCTCGATATTGCTGCTGTAAAAGCAGGTTTGAGGCGTGGAATATGAAGAATGTTTTTTCCATCATGTCACTGTCATTAATATTCCCGCACCATAGGTTCAACTGTGAAGTGATCTTGAACATGGCAGAATTATATTCAGTGACTGATTTGAAGTCCTGCAACCTCAAATTGTGCCATTCACTGCGGGCTTTCGGTAGTACGATCAACTTCAGGTGATCGTATCTTGCTTTTAGTTTATTCCACAAGTCAAGAGGGTTCTTGACTGTGAGATATTCCATTTTCAGCATTCATTGATATGATGTCGGAGGAATATCATTGTCTTTGCTTGGATTTGATTTGTAGCATTATTGCCTCTCGCAATCGTTTCACCCAGGCTCATCAATTCCAGATGCATTTCAACATCCATGGCCCACGACAAATAGTTTTTGCCAGAAATGACAAGTGGGACGAATTCCTATTTTGCAATGTTAGTAACCATAATACTATTGAAATATACCTACCATGTTGGAAAAACGAATCGTGCTGATAACATATTGTAAATATTAATATGGGAATAACGAATAGGAATATTAATTATCCCACTATTAATCACTATTTTCTATGATATTAATATCATTATCATATATTTAGTGTATATATATGCGGTTGGTGTAGTAATATTATATATTAATATGTAATATATATATATATGTATATATGTAAGATTGTTACGATGATTGATGTTGGAGTTATAGTGACGAGAAAAAAAGAGATAAGACAAATGAAGATGAGTCTATTTTACTTTTGTAGAAGTAAAATACACTCTCTTTCTTAATGAATAAAAATAAACCATTTATCAAACCAATGAAATTATAGTACGTTGCATCCACACAATATATATGTTTGTCACGTACGTGCATTGTATAACAAGTCCAAATATTTTGGGCAAAGAAGCAAAACCCAAACAAACCCTAATAAATTCAAATTTGTATTATGACCAAGACACGGTTCAATTGAGAGAGAGAACCATCTCGAAGGCGCTGGATTCTACCATGCCGAATTGCCGATGACTTTCTACCCAAGATAGCGACATTAAATTCGCGGAGCGAACGGAGGTCTACCTATCCGACCACTCCGGCGATTGTTCAAGTTTGAATCCGATTTCTATTGGTTGCCATGGATAGAGGAAGAGGCAGAGGAGGAATGCTCGGACTGCTCTTGGTTCAGGCTTTGAGCGAGTATTCCCGGCTCGACAGACGGCCGCCGGTCACGGCGGGACTAATCGCCGCCAACACAGTAATTTACCTGCGGCCGAAATTCCTCGCTCCGTTCCTTCCCACGCTTAATCAAGTCTGGTTCAATCCACATCTTATTCTCAAGGTATCGCATCTGATTCGAGTTTCTCTTTCGGAGTTACTTAATTTTGCATCTTTCTTACCCCTTCTTTCCAGAAGTATTGCTAAGCTCAAGTTATGATTCTTACTTATGATATTTAAGGTCATATTAAATGTGAACCATTTTCTTTAGTTCTTCTTTCAAATGAGAATGTGGTATACTGGTATTCTGAATTTGATGTAGGTTTGTATGTTGTTTTAGTCTTATTTACCTATCTAAGAATCTTCGTATATCAATCACCTTTGTGGAATTCAATGCCTCTGTAATCTGCGTGCATCAGAGGTAGAGATCTTGCTCTGCGGATTCATAGAAGAGGTCTAAATGAGCAACTTGGCTTCTAGGATAGAATAGAAATTTATTAACAGATGTGATTCTTTGTTCTGATATGTTTCAATGAGTTCGGATATTTTGATGCCAAGTGAATAGATTTCCATATTCTTTGAGTTCTGCCTTGATGATCATTTATTTTCAAATTGTTAACCCTAAATGTCAAGCTTCAGTTGGTTTTTGTTTGATTCTCCTTTGTAATTTTACAACTCTTTTATTACTTTGTCAGCTTGCATCTATTGTGGTTTCGGTTAAGCACGTTTCTTATTTCAAGAGTTGCACATTGCATTGGTGAATTGTATTGACATTACTTTCTTAATTTCTACTATGATTCTAACCTTATTGAGTACTTTCTGTTTTACAATAGTTATGGACGACAAATCATGTTTAGGATTTAGTTCTATGAAATCATATATGGCTAGAATAGGGCGGATCTTTCCAATACATGGGTCACTGCCAAGGGAACTTTTAGTGATGATAAACCTGTTCAATTGTTTCAATGCTAGATTCTACTTCCTTATAATGGGTCACATGCTTAATGAATTTTGAACTTTATATGCGCCTTTTGTGTTAAAATAATAATCATAATATAATTTGTGTTAAAATAACTAGAGCTATTAAACAAATCGAATAGCTTGCGAACCAAGCTCGATCCGAAAGTTAACCGCTCGAATCAACTCGTGTATAGCGATAGATAGTTGAGCCCAAGATAAATGACTATTTCTAGAAACAAGCCTTGCTCAAGCTTGGCTTGCGAGCAACTCAATTGAGTTTGTTAGTAATAATATATTTATATCATTTATATATTTATATAATATGGCTGTTTTTACTGTGCAATTCAGCACAATAACACAATATTAATACATATAATACATTATTTATAATAACATATTACATATACGTTACATAGCTAATAACACATGATATAGTATCGCATATCACATGCTACCGTTGATTCCAACACATAATATACTTATGAACAATACACCTATGAGTATAAATAGAAAGCCTGTGATTTTATTTCGCACAACATGTGCTGTCTGCTTGTTTTATTTGTTTTATATGACTATTTTACGTATGCTGCTAATTTCTCTAAATCAGTAACTATTCCCATAAATTTAGATACATTTAATTTTTATATTAAAAAAATATAATATGCATCAAATTTTAGCCGAGTTTGAGCTTGAAGTCTAGTCTAACAAGCTGAACTCGAGTGACTATTTTAGCTTGAACCTTTAATAAGCCAAATCAAGCTTTTACCGATAACATGTTCAAACCAAGATCGAACAGCATATACTCGAACTCACTCAGCTTGTTTAATTGCACTAAAAACAAAAATTTATCAGCTTAATTAAAATCATCAAAGAAATATCTTAATGTCAACAATACAGTGACTTCAAATTTAATGATGAAAAATTCATGGTAGTTTATTCCAGGTACACTCTGTTTACAATTCAATAATCTCAAAGCCAAATACTTGACATATACTGAATTCAAATATTTATGGTTATATATAGTTTCTTGGCCGTGTGTATCAACACAATTTTTTTCCATGTTATAAACACAGCACAAGGATCTAAAGCGCTTCATCCTGTCTGCATTCTACCACATTGGCGAACCTCATCTCGTCTACAACATGATGTCCCTCCTATGGAAGGGCATACAATTGGAGAACGCAATGGGAAGTGTCGAATTCGCCTCGATGGTCACAGTTCTGGTTGGGATGTCCCAGAGCATCACACTGCTACTAGCAAAAGCCCTTCTCCTCTTCGACTACGAACGCGCCTACTACAACGAGTACGCCGTTGGATTCTCCGGCGTCCTTTTCGCCATGAAGGTCATTCTCTATTCCCAATCTGATAACTACACATATGTTCATGGTCTTATGATTCCGGCACGTTACGCTGCGTGGGCTGAACTTATTCTCATCCAAATGTTTGTCCCCGGTGTCTCATTCCTCGGTCATTTAGGAGGGGTTCTCGCAGGCATCTTATACTTAAATCTTAAAGGCTTGTATTCTGGTCCTAACCCGTTGGTTAAAGTAGTCAGGGGTCTCACTAGGGTCCTAGGTTGGCCTTTACGGTTTATAAACAGCATGGCTAGACCTTCTAGGAGTCGGGTTTATGGTAGGGGTACCACACGACGCAGTGAGGCTGCTGTGTGGAGATGTGGGGCGTGTACATTTGATAACTCGGGTTACTTAAGTGTGTGTGAAATGTGTGGGACTGACCGTAACGGGAATGGGTTTGGCGAGTATGGTGGTGATAGCGAGACGCCTTCTGTTGAGGAATTAAGAGAGCTGAGGGTTCGGAGATTCGGTCGATGATTAGATTAGATGAAATTGCTATGTAAATAATTCATGAAACTAAGATTCTAGAAAGCTGATGTTATTTGCTTGCTTGCTTGCATATGGTACGAATGAAATGCCTACTTGATTATTGCAATTTCTCTTTATTTGTGTTCTTATATTTACTTGTTCTCTGTTGCAATTTATTTCATTTTATTCTTGCTCTAGTAGAATCATTATATAATTCATGCTTGTGCATCGAGTTTGATTTCTCTCCTAATTGTTCTTTTTTCCTTTTTGTTTTGGTTTTTTTTTCTTTTTTTAACAATGTGAGTTGTTGTTATTCTTCTGATGAGCATTTGGTGTTTTGCTATTCTATATAAAACCCTATGACCTTAATAATTAATAAGTAGAATTCTGTTTCTAGGATTTTTTATCAATTCCTTTGCATTTTGATCTGTTGCAACTTACAATTTAAGTAGAAAATTCTCTACGAAGTTCGAAGGAAAGGAATGAAAAAGGACGACCCGATTCCCGAAGAAGAATGGGCTTCGCTCTTAGCTCGGGTAGTCGTCGTTTATGGTGTTTTGGTAACTCCCGGCCGAGTTGCAACCCGTTTTGGATTTTAATCGAAAAATAAGTTCAGAATTTAGTAATTTGAACAGAAGATAGGTTTTGGATGTGTCATGAAAGAAGTAGTTTATTGTAGAAAAACATGGTGAAAAAGAATACCGTGTATTGCTTTTAGTTTAGGTTTAGATTTAGATTTGAATATGGGATTTGATAATGGCGGTGGCTAGCTTATTATATTTAATATAATCACTACATATCATAGTATATATCAGACAACAGAGTATACATATAAAATAGATATTAGGTCACCTGCCATACATGGTTTCGTTTGTCTAGTGTGACTTTCCTGTCGGACCTGATTTGTAGGATATTAGGTTCGAGTGTGCACTTTCGGGTAGCGGCTGCGGATTTCCATGTCATAAGAAAAATGGATATGATAATCCATACTAATATTTTATACAGTATATTTTATCTATTAGTATATTTTCTTATGCTATATCTATATATATTATTTTATGTGCTCATTGAGACAATTAACAGGATACAGATAGATTTTCAATTAACACTAACCAAAACTTTTGATGATAGTAGAAATTTAAATTAAAATTGTATTTGATGTTAAATTAAAATGGCATCTGATGTTATATATAGGGTGTGTTTGTTTGAAAATTTGGATTTTGAGTTTGAGATTTAAATATATTAATTTTAAATTGAAATAGTTAAATGAATAGTTGTTGATATTATTTAAATTGAAATAGTTAAATGAATAACTGTTGATATTATTTAAATTTTAAAATTAATTTTTAATATAATATAAAAAGAATTAAAAAATGTGTTGTGATTAGATATTTTCGGAGAATTTTTTTTATTATTATTAAAAGTAAAATTCAGAGGCAAAATCCTCCAAAAACTAATACAAACCTATTATGTTTTGAAATTTAAAATTAATTTTTATTATAATATAAAAAAATAAAAAATAGGCATTTGATTAGATATTTTTGGAAAAAAATTATTTTGATGAACAATAAAATTCGAGCAAAATCGTACAAATTAATACATCCTATAATGTTTCGTCTGATGTATTGAATGCATGCTTAGTTTTTTTTGGTAATATGCTTTAAAAAGAAGGTTGATTTGATTGGTTTTGGAGGAAAATTTTTAGATGAAGTAAAACGAGATCAACTGATCAAGTCCAAAGTAGACCTATTGATAATATTTGTAAGGCACAATAGACAAATGTGTTTTTTTTTTTTTTTTTTTTTTTTTTTTTGTCATACTATGAATGTGTTTTATTTGTATTTATATATTTTGATTTTTTTTATATTTTAAATGACATAATTGTCATCTTATAACTTTTACTTGTTATGATAAATTAAATTTGTACTTCATTTTCTTTATGAATATTAATTTATTTATTTTTTACCAAACTGGGTATGTTTTAAGAAAAAAAAATAATACGATTTTTTATTAATATTAAACTATAATATATACATATTCATACAAAAATATATAATAAATATATATAATTGTAGTAGTATGTTTAAGTAAAATGGTATATTTTTATAGAATCAATAAAATATAATTTAAATATAAATATATATATATAATATTATTAAAAGAAAAAAAAAGATGAGAGTTTTTTGGTTGGATAGGAGAGTATAAAGGTAGAAGTTGAAATGCTAATGAGATTTTAAAATAATAGAATGTGCTATATTATTAAAATAAAATTATTTGCAAGATTTTGAAATTTGTAACATATTAATTTCATTATATATTTTGTAATTAAATATGAATTCATTAAAATTTTAAAATTCAAATTTTATAAAATCCTACCAAATCTATGAACCAAAACAAGGTACAAGGCAATGTAAGCAAAAGAATCGAATATATAAGAAATGATAGAAACAATCAATCTTATTTTAAAAATCGTTAAGAAAGTGATATTCACTGAAGTATATCAATATGATTAAGTAAAAATATATCTTATTTAGCCCCGAAAAGCGGTCGATGACTGCAAGATCATATATTAAAACTTAGTAGTTTTATAGATTATTTGACATGAGTAGTAGAAGTTTTTTATTTTTTTGTTCATACCCAAAAACATAATACACAACAATCTTCATTTGGAGGTTGAAAATTAGAGACCCATTAAAAAAACATATCTTGTGCATTAGATCAATCCGAACCCTATTTCCTATCTTTTTTTTGTCACTCTAGTTTGCTTTCTTTTGAAGTTTTCCTTTTACCATCTTCTTCTTTCGTCCCCAATTCAGGGTAAACTCTTCGGCCCAATCTAATACTCTGCAAACTAGGTCCGACAAGCAAGTCATACTAAACGATCTATGTGTGACAGGTGATCTGAGGCGTTAGGGGTTTGAAACCCATGACCTCACGGTCACAAGTCCAACCCCACACCATTAGGTTATCCCTTACGGCACTTGAAAATGAGTTTCTTGGTTAGCTGGCTAGGTGCATTGGTTTTGTTTGGAAACAAATTTTGAAGAAACAACTCATATTTTTTGTGACTCGATCAAGTCAGAAATAATTTTGGAGTTTGTTTTTTGAGCCATTGGGTATGCATATTGTGACCTATGGGTGTGTTTTTATGTGGATTTTAACTTTAGATCTGATAGTTGAATAGTAAAATATTTTAATTAGTATCATTATATGAAGCGATATAAGTAAAGTTATGTTTTGAATTTAAAAAATAAATGTTTAATTTAATATTTTTTTTAAAAAAAATTGGTGGATCCATGGCCTCTTTTTAAATATTTAATTAATATAAAAATTATATTGATCATATATACTATATTATATTTATGCTTAGGATTTTTTTTATTAAAAAAATATTATATTTATATTTTTTATAAAAATAATAATTTTAGTAATTCTAAATTTAGATATATTGTTTTTTAAAATATTTTTGTAAAATATTTAATTAGATATCTATTGATTTAATTATAATATTTATTTAATTAAATTACACACAATACAAATAATAATTAAATTTAAAAATATATTCACTATGTTCACTTTATAAAATAATTTCCATAAATATTATTAAAAATGATATAAATATACACACATATTAATATAATATATATTATCTACTTATAATAAATGAGACATTCAACACAGAGTATTATAGTTTATATTATCAACATAGTTTTATGTGGTACACAAAAATACAATTTATGGTGTGTTTGTTTGGGGAATTTGATTGGATTTACACTATTCATCCAATTTTTTTTTAAAAAAACATCAAATCAAACACTTATTTTTTATTTTTTATATTATACTAAAAATCAATTTTACATTCAAAACATCACATCAACACCTATTTATATCACATCATACAACTATTCAAATTCAAACTTTTTACTATTCAAATCTCAACTCAAAATTCAAATCCCCAAACAAAAACACCCCAGTGAACATATTGTCTATTTGGTATTTTATTATTAAATTTAAATTTAAAATTTTAATTATTATGTGAGTGATATATAAAAATTAATTTTTATTTATATTTTTGTAAAAAATAGATAAGAATTAATTATGAAAAAAAGTATAATTTTACTTTATAAATATATAAAAATTTTAATGATGTGCAAAAAGTAAAGATATTAGACCGTTCCTTGATATAAATATAAATTAATTGAAGTTCTTCTAACACGGAGGAGAGAATTTATGTAGCATAAGGCCATCCACAACAGGGCGTTTCCAACCTAGTGCCCCACGGCACCATTTAGTAAAAAATAAATGAAAACAATCATCTGACACCAAGAACCGCATAATGCGAGTATGTGTTTCCTAGGCGCTCCCGGCATTACTCTCTCCTCGGCGGTCCTCGGCAATCTCCTCTGCGTTGCTCCGTCCTTGGCACTTCTCGACATTGTTATCTGCATTGCTCCCTCATCGGTGCTCCTCGACATTACTCTATCATCGGCGCTCCTTGGCATTCTCCTCCGTGTTTCTTCTTCATCGGCGCTCCTCGACATTACTCTCTCATCGGCACTCCTCGGCGCTCCTCGACATTACTCTATCCTCAGCACTCCTCGGCATTCTCCTCTGCGCTCCTCGGCATTACTCTCTCCTCGGCATTACTCTCTCCTCTGTGCTCCTCATCATTACTCTCTCCTCGGCATTACTTTCTCCTATGCGCTCCTCATCATTACTTTCTCCTCGGCGCTCCTCGGCATTACTCTTTCCTCGGCGCTCCTCAGCATTACTCTTTCCTCGACACTCTTCGGCATTCTCCTCTGCATTGCTCCCTCCTCGGCGCTCCTCGGCATTACTCTCTGCTCGGCGCTCCTTGGCATTCTCCTCTGCGTTGCTCCCTCCTCGGTGCTCCTCGGCATTCTCCTCCGCGTTGCTCACTTATCTGCACTCCTTGGCATTACAGTCTCCCCGGCGCTCCTAAGCATTCTCTTTTGCGTTGCTCCATCTTCGGCTCTCGTTGACATTGCTCTCTCCATAACGCTCCTCGGCATTACTCTCTCCTTTACGCTCCTCAGCATTACTCTCTCATCGGCGCTCCTCGGCATTACTCTTTCCTTGGCGCTTCTCGACATTCTCCCCTGCATTGCTCTCTTCTCGGTGCTCCTCACATTACTCTATCCTCGGCACTCCTCGGCATTCTCCTCTGCGTTGCTCCCTCCTCGGAGCTAATCAGCATTACTCTCTCCTCGGCGCTCCTTGGCATTCTCCTCTGCTTTGCTCCCTCCTTGGCGCTCCTCAGCATTACTCTCTCCTTGGTGCTCCTTGGCATTCTCCTTTGCGTTTCTCCCTCATTGGCGCTCCTCGACATTACTCTATCCTCAGCGCTTCTCGGCATTCTCTTCTGTGCTCCTCATCATTACTCTCTCCTCGGCATTACTCTATCCTCAGCGCTCCTCGGCATTCTTCTCTGCGCTCCCCATCATTACTCTCTCCTCGGCATTACTCTCTCCTCTGCGCTTTTCATCATTATTCTCTCATTGGCGCTTCTCGACATTCTCCTTGGTGTTGCTCCCTCCTTGGCGCTCCTCGACATTACTCTCTCCTCGGCGCTCCACGGCATTACTCTCTCCTCGGTGCTCTTCGGCATTACTCTTTACTCGGCGCTTCTCGACATTCTTCTCTGCATTTCCCCCTCTTCAGTGTTCCTCGGCATTACTCTCTCCTCGGCACTCCTTGGCATTCTCCTCTGCATTACTCACTCCTCTGCGCTCCTCGGCGTTACTCCCTCAACATTCTCTTCTACGTTGCTCCCTCCTCGGCGCTCGTCGACATTACTCTCTCCTTAGCACCTCCTCGGCATTACTATCTCATTTATGCTCCTCAGCATTACTCTCTCCTCGGCGCTCCTTGGCATTACTCTTTCCTCGGCGCTTCTCGACATTCTCCCATGCGTTGCTCTCTTCTCGGCGCTCATCGTACTACTCTTTCCTCGGCACTCTTAGGCATGCTTCTCTGCGTTGTTCCTTCCTTGGCGCTCCTCGGCATTACTCTCTTATCGACGCTCATTGGCATCTCTCTTTTCTCGGCGCTGCTCGATATTCTCCTCTGCATTGCTCCCTCCTCGGCGCTCCACGACATTGCTCTCTCATCGGCGCTCCTCGGCATTCTCCTCTGCGTTGCTCCCTCCTCAGCGCTCCTCGGCATTACTCTCTCCTCAGCGCTCCTCGGCATTCTCTTCTATGTTGCTCCCTCCTCGGAGCTCCTCGTCATTACTCTCTTCTCGGCGCTCCTCGGCATCTCTCTTTTCTCGGCGCTCCTCAACATTCTCTTCTGCATTGCTCCCTCCTTGGCGCTCCTCGGCATTACTCTCTCCTCGGCACTCCTCGGAATTCTCCTCTGCTTTGCTCCCTCATCGGCGCTCCTCGGCTTTACTCTCTCCTCGGCGCTCCTCGGCATTCTCATCTGTGTTGCTCCATCCTCGACGTTTGTTGGCATTACTCTCTCCTCGGCTTTCTCCTCTGCGTTGCTCCCTCCTCGGCGCTCATCGACATTACTCTCTTCTCGGCGCTCCTTGGCATTCTCCTCTGCGTTGTTCCCTCATCGGTGCTCCTTGGCATTCTCCTCTGTGTTGCTCCCTTCTCGGCGCTCCTCGGCATTACTCCCTCATCGGCCCTACTCAGTATTCTCTTCTGTGTTGCTTCTTCCTCGGCGCTCCTCGGCATTACTCCCTCATCGGTCCTACTCAGTATTCTCTTCTGTGTTGCTCCTTCCTCGGCGCTCTCTGCGCTCCTCGGTGTTGCTCCTCGACATTACTCTCTCCTCGGTGCTCCTCGGCATTCTCTTATGCATTGTTCCCTCATCAGCGCTCCTCGACATTCTCCTCTGCGTTGCTTCCTCCTCGGCATTCTCCTCTGCATTGCTCCCTCCTCGGTGCTCCTCTGCATTACTCGCTCCTCGTAACTCCTCTGCTCTACTCCCTCCTCGGCGCTCGTCGGCATTCTCCTCTGCGTTACTCCCTCCTCGGCGCTCGTCGGCATTCTCCTCTGCATTGCTCCCTCTTTGGCGCTCCTATGCATTACTCGCTCCTCGGAACTCCTCTGCTTTACTCTCTCCTCAGCGCTCCTCGGCATTCTCTTTTGCGTTGCTCCCTCCTCGGCGCTCCTCTACATTACTCCCTCCTCGGCGCTCCTCTACATTACTCCCTTCTCGGCATTCTATTCTGCGTTGCTCCCTCCTCGGCGCTCCTCTGCATTACTCCCTCCTCGGCGCTCCTCGACATTCTCTTCTGCGTTGCTCCCTCCTCGGCGCTCCTCTGCATTACTCCCTCCTCGGCGTACGTTGACATTCAGTTACTCGGCATTTTTCTTGGCGTTGGCCAATGTTTTGGTGCGGAACACAAGGATGTCTCTTCTAAAATTAATAATAATTAAAAAGAAAAAAAAATCTTCAATTTTAAATTTGATGGTTGTATTTTTGTGAATTTTATAAAATTCTAATATATTTAAATTTTTTTAAAAAATAAAATGAATATTTTTTTATATATCACAAAGAGAATACAATATAAAAATAATTATTTAATTTTTTTAAAAAAATAATATTAAAAATGTTTGTCTCGAATGATTTCCGATTCCCTGTAGAAACCTATATTTATAGAGAAAGAAAGACTACTTGGCAACTCTCTCTCTCTCTCTCTCTCTCCCTCCTACATACAGACGGAGAGGCAGAGTCAGGTAGGCAGGCAGGCAGCTACCTTTCATCAGTCTCCAGTCGTCCTGCCTCTCTATCTCCATCACTCAGTTTTATCCTATCTTTTTCCTTCGCATATAAACCAATTCAATTCAGCAAATTGTTTTGCCAACTTTCTCTTCCCATCTCCTCATTCCTCCCCTTTTCTGGTAAATACAATACAATACACAAAACCCATTTCATTTCCCTAGCTCCCAATCTTCCCATTCCCCCGTCAGGCGACCTGAAAGAAGTCACCAGAATTGATGACCCACTAAACACTACACTTCAATCAAAATGAGAATGAGATTGAGAATACCACGGTACCTTTGTCTCTTCCTCCTCCTTTGTTCTCGTGCCTCCCTCGCCGGCCTACTGGCCGAGCCAGCTCAGCCGCTGAAGCCCGGCGGTGGAGGTGGAGGTGGAGATTACAACACCGTCCCCGCCTTCCCCGTCCAGACGGAGTCTCAGAACTGCCGACTCGACCTCTCCGCCGAGCTCTTCGGCGGCGTCAGCGCCGCCTGCGGGCGCAACCTCGACCGCAGCCGCTGCTGCCCCGTCCTGGCAGCGTGGCTCTTCGCTGCGCACGCCAGATCGGCTCTTCAGGTTCCGACGGCTGCCACTTCGGAGTCGGACGACTTGCCCATGATGCCGGACGACTCTCAAAAGTGTGTGAACTCGCTGCAGAGCTCTCTGGCAAGCCGTAACATACATATTCCCCAGCCCAACGCCTCGTGCGACGCCGTCCTCTGCTTCTGCGGCATTCGCCTGCACCAGATCACTTCCCTCCGCTGCCCAGGCGCCTTCAACGTCACCGTCACGGGGACGGGGACGGCGGCGCATTACAGAAACGCCACACCCTCCGCCGCCGTCAAGAATTTGGAGCACAACTGCAAGAATTCGTCTTACGCTGGCTGTACCAAGTGCCTTGGTGCCCTGCAGAAGGTACTCTACTATTTCATTACTAGTTAGTTAGTTTATTTATTTACCCTATCGAATCTTTTATAAATATATATATATATATATATAGATACCGAGGTTGAGGTTGAGGTTGAGGTTGAGGTGCCATTTATTACTTCTCGATCGGTTCCCACGCAACAAGGCATTTATTTCCCAATCATTGATCTCAATGATAAATAGATAAGATGGATACTCTTATTAATTGCGGAATATGCTTCCTGTTTCTTATTCTTCTTTCTTCTTTTACTTGTAAAATCCATCCCCATCCCCATCCCCCACCATTTGATTTTTGATTACGGAGGAGGAGGATGTGTGTGTTATTCTTTTTATTTATTTATTCATTTAATTTTTATCTTATCTTCTCTTTTATTTATTAATGAGGATCTCGATTCGTGGTTTTCCTTTACTTTCCTTTGGATTGGATACATGTTAGCTAGGTGATATTTGTGTGAGTCTGCTGCATATTTATTCAAAAGTACATATCTAAACCATGATGTGTGAATGAGTCCTCCTAAGTTGCAGTTGCAGAGAGAGAGAGAGAGAGAGAGAGAGAGAGAATAGTAGTAGCAGTAGTAGTATTTGTTTCATGTGAATGGATGAGGAGTGTTGGTTGGCATGAAAAGAATAAGATATGGGTTTGAAATTCATTCTTCGGTCTTGTAAAAGACTAAAAGGTCGTCCTGTGCTTTTAGCTAAAATATTACTACTAATTTTATGTTGACGCGAGAGGAGGAGGAGGAGGAGGCCAAGCGAGCCTTGGCGACAAGGACATGAGCATAGACTTAGAGAGCGGAAAAGGCCAAGTCTTTTTACCTTTACCTCACCTTTTTTGGTGCATGGAGTCTTTTCTGTGTCTTCTTCCCCGGAACGCACAAGTTTCTAGGTGTACACAGCAATCAAGATGCCTCTTTCTTCTTCTTCTTCCTCTACCCCACTAATCAATCAATTAATCAATTAAGCTCTTATCTTATTATTAGTATTATAATAATAATAATAATGTTTTGATAGGATATCTTGTCTGTATTTTCGTATGTTATGGCGTGGATTGTCGTTTATATCGCTCAAAGTATTCTCTTCTCTTGGGTTGTGAGGGATCCTATACTATCTATGCCTTGGGGGCTTGACCTGTGTTGGTGTCTGTTTGATTTAAGTCGGCAAATACTAATATTTGATGAATGTGAATGCGTGCTTGCAGCTGAGAGTGGATGGCAATGGCAAGAACAGAAGCAAGGATGATGATGACGATGGTGGTGGTGATGATAAAGAGCGGGTTCAGAAGATGCTGAAGAGGGACTGCGAGGTGATGGGGCTGACGTGGCTGCTGGCTCGGAACAAGACGGCGTACATCCCGACGGTGTCGGCAGTGCTGCGGGCCATCATGTACAGCGCGCACCCTCCCCGGCAGTCCTCCACCTGCTCCCCTGACCAGGAGAACATGCCCCTCGCCGTCAATTCCCTGCAGTTCGACGCCAAATACTCCTCCTCCTCCCCCTCTTCCCTACATTCTCCCCCCTTTTTATTATTATTATCATTTTCATTATTATATGCCTCAGCCTCGTTCTTCTTCCTCTAGCTAGCTCATCAGGCCCTTCTGTCAGTCATCAATTCCTTGTTTTGTTATTATTATTATTATTATATACATATATATGTCTGCACGCACCGGGTTCACGGGATCATTTTGAACAGAAAAGAGAAATGGAAGACAGCCAGCCAGCCAGCCAGCCAGGGCTTTTTTATTTTTTTTTGTCATCTTCTCCAAATGGCACTGTACATTATATGCGTACATGTCAGAATTATTTATAGTCTTGGGCTTCTTTTGGGCACTAATTGTTAGGTGGCTGGCTCATTGCACCGCATTGCTTGACCCTTCCCTCTTCCTTACGCCTTGTCCAATTAAATGGACTTTGTCATAGATAAAAAGTGTGCCTGCAATATGAATCGGAGGATCCCGCCCACTTGCACGAAAGGGAACAAACTATTCGGGTGTGTTTGTTCGTGGTTTTAGTTTTTTTATTTGAATTTTTGAATAACAAAAAGGTTGAATTTGAATAGTTGTTTCATGTGATTTTTTTAATATAAAATAAATTTATAGTATAATATAAAAAATAAAAAATAATTGTTTGATGTGATATTTTTTTAAAAAAAATAATTTAAATAGTAAAAATCTGCCATAAAACCATGAGGACGCATTAACGGAGGAAAAAAAAAAAAAAAAGTACCATATTTGATCATATATATATATATATTCTCCAGTTGTATTGTTGTGAGTGACAGCCCAAGAACAAATTAATTAAGTGAACAATTTGAAATATGTATCTATATCTCTATAGATAGATATAAACTGAGTCTAAGAAGCCAGCTTTAATTTATTATGTTATGTAATACTCCATCCGTCTCACATAATTTGTCTCTATTTTCTATTTTCGTCCGTCCCACATAACTTGTCTTTTCTATTTTTTGAAATATAATTATGCATTTTAATCGTATTTTAAATTTTAAATTTTATAATTTTCTTAATTTTAATTAAACTATTTATTTATCTTAATCTTAATCTATAATTATTTTTACTAATACATTTCTTAATTACTTGCTAATTATACTTTACCTAAATTACCGTGTCTACAGTAATACACTCATATTACACGAGACGAAGGGAGTATAGTATTGTGTACGTGAGCAGAGTGGGATATAGAATGGCCATAGTTAAAAAAGGTGGAGAAAAAGGTTGTAAGCTTTCCAGGGCAGAAATCGAGGTCGAGGATCAAACGTAATTCCAAGGCTGAGTATGTTGGTCATCTGCATGTATATTTGTTTGTCCAAAAAAAACAATACTTTAAACATCGAAACTGATGCAATACTTTTTGAACAGCAACAACAAATTAGACTATAATAATAGCTTATCTTATGTAGCAATTAACTAAAACACTCACTCCAGATATATATATATATATATATAAAGGAATGGGGATAGGGAGCACATGCATGCATGTGTTGAATGAATGAATGTAGGGAATCTTGTTGGATGTCTGTTTGTTTGTCGTCACCTTCAGTCCAGCATTCTCCTTGTTCTTTTGCTCATCCCATGTACTCCAAACTACTCCCCATAGGCTATAGTAATACCACTATAGATGCATATTAAATTGTGGTACAAAAGTCATTTTCAACCGATCAACTCGTTTATCCAGTTTTAATTCTAAATAATTTTATTTCAACCATAACTCCATTTTTTATTATTATTCTTCAAATATTCAATTTTTCATATTATTTTAAATAATTTTTTATTTTTATAATTTAAAATATATATTTTTTAAATTAAAAAAAAAAATAAAAAATAGAAAGCAACGCCATTGTGAAACGCCAAAAAATAGCGCAGAATTCAAATTCCCTAATACTAATTATGTATTACTATTCTCATTCTCATTCCCACAGTATGCAACAATATATGAGTGGCTATTATTAGATGATATAAATGATCGTTTCATTTAAAAGGTTAAGCTATTTTAATATAATATCATTTAATTATTTTATTTACAAATCGGAATCAACCAACAAGTATGATCAGTGTATTTGTAACGTAACTATGTATATGGTTCATTACATATATATATATATATAGATTATCTATCTTTCTATCTTATCAATAGGGTGAGGATGAAACTCATGAGGGATCACTTCAGTAAGATTGAAATCACCACAGCCACACCACTCTTTAAACTTGAAATATTGATCGATAATTCAAATATCAATAATAATTAATAATATGTTGTACTAATAGATAGCTCCACACCAACAACACCATCATCATCATCATTTCATGAGAATTCAAAAACAGGATGAACAGAGATAAATTACTTACCGAATTAGGTTTCGAACCGTCATCGAATCGGTTTCGGTTCTCTTTTACTAGCAGTAAACTGCCGATTTGAATACAGGGACGGATCTACATTATGCAAAGTGGTAGCAAGTGTCACCGGTAATTTATTCTGATAAAAGAAATTTATTATGATCTATTAATTGTACTAAAAGTAAAAAAATTGCAGCGTCCCGTTGAAAATTTAAAATACATCATTATCTAATAAAATTAGATAAATTATTTAAAATTTAAAATTTAAAATACTATCAATATCAAAATAAATTAAATTCAATCCAATTAAAATGATTAATTTATATTATATAAAAAAATAAATATAAAAATTAATACTATTATCTTATTATTTTTTCTATTATCGATAATAATTTTTAATGGTTGGAATAAAGCCGTAAATTATTAGTATGTTTTTTTAATAATAAATTAAAATTTTTAATTTATTTTATTTTAAAGTTGATATATTGTGCCACTGGTGAATAATTTTTCTAGATAGACGGCTGTTTGAATAGTCTGTCTTCGGATTGTTCATATTTTTATTTGTTATCTAAATTTGTTTTTATTTTTTTTACTAAAAGAATATCATTTTTAGCATTTTTTTATCATAAATTGTCTCATTTAATTTAGGCACGAAAGTTTTAAGTATTGTGTAATTAAAAAGCAATTAAGAAGTGTATTAGTGAAAATAATTATGATTTAATAGAAATAATTATAGATTAATATTAAAATGACTAAGTGTATAATTGTATTTAAAAAAAAAGAAATGACAAATTATGTGGGACAAATGCAAATGAAAATAATAGACAAATTAAGTGGAACGGAAGGAGTATATATATGTCTTAATAAAATATATTGTCTTTGTCTCAAATAAAGAATTTAGGTAAATTATAATAAGTAAATATTAAAGAAGTGTATTAATAAAAATAATTATTATATAATAATAATTACAAATTACGATTGATAACTAAATAGTTTAATTAAAATAAAAAAAAATTATAAATTATAAATGTGATTAAAATGTATAATCATATTTTAAAAAAATAAAAAATAAATTATGAAATGAATTGAAATAAAAAAAACAAATAATTTATGACGGATGGAGTATACAATATATATTTTATTCATTTATAAAAAATTAACAATTCAAATATAAAATTTTATTTTTTATATTATGTCATTCTCATATTTAATATAAAAAAAACTCATTCTTTTTTGTTTCTCCAAATTCTAATTTCATATCTCCCATTATATACACACAAAAATTCACCAAAATAGGCCAATATTATACTCCATCGTCCTAAGCATTCTGCAATATTTTTTTGAACGTTTCTAGACACCATGCAACATTTTTAAAATAAGAAACAATTAAAAATATTTAAATGTCTACCCTATACTCAGGGCCGTCTCGGACTTTTTTGGTATCCTGAGCAAAAATATATTATAGGCTTTATAAACACGTGATTAAAATATATTTTCAAAGTAATAGCATTGATTGACGTTGATTGGACAAGAGGTTGAACATGACGGTCTGGGTAGTGTCGATTTGAGAAAAAAAAAATGAAAGAGTCCAAAGGTTCAAAAAGTAAAAATGACTGAGGGAAAATGAAAGAGAAAAGAGAGAAGGTGAAACGGATTTGGTGTGAATGGGTGGGTGCAGTGCGACAGGGTGTGAAAAAGAAAAGTACAGACAAAAATTGAATTTGAAAAGATGGGGTGAGGCAATAGGCATGATTATAAAGAAGAGATAGAAAATAATATATAATTATAGTTTAAAATTTAATTTTAAAATTAAAGTGGACAATTAAGAAGAAAAAAAATATAAACTAAAGTTAAAATTTAATGTTAAAATTTAAAATTTAATAATATAGTGGGTAATATTTTAAAATATGAACCCTCTGAGGCCCTGAGCCCCTGAACAAGTTGTTCACTTTTTGTTGAGAGCCGACTCTGCCTACACTTTATCCTACCGTATTATCCAAATAAAGATAAATAAATATATAATTTTCTCTCTCATAATCTCATTACATCACATAATTTTCCAATTATCATATTCAATATTATCCACATAAATTTTCCTGCCAAAGTAACATGGAAAAATAGAACGCAGGGTAGAACATACTAAAACACACCCAAACTGTATCAACCAGGAAGTGATCACTGACGACGGTCACGGTAGAGGTGGCGACGGCAACTCCAATGACCCTAATATTGCTCTGATACCATGTTAACGTAGGTTTATTTCACTAAATTGAAAAATACAGTAAAATTACATATATATATATATATATAGATATGTCTAACACTATATGTATATATATATAATAAAGACATAATATGAGTATTTTAAGAAAGTGTACAAGAAGAAGTTCCAAAGAAAATATCTAGATTTTAACAAATATCATTTATTTGGAAAAACAGTCGAAAATATTTTTGTTCTAGAAGAATATGTGAGAAACTTTGACATTGATAATATTATTGTTAGTCCATCCTACAATTAGATTATTATTGTTCATGTAATGGAACCCTTGCAAGAGAAACGACCACCGAATAAGGCAAAAATAGTTGATAGGAGGAATACATCGGCCCGACATTTTATCTTGGTCTCACTCGGGAGAAAAACACAAATGTGATCTTTGTGTCTCCTATTACATGATCCATATGATTCTTTGTAATCAATTGAATATTTAAATTAAATTTTTTTACCTTGTTTTCGATGAGAAAATTTTTGCTAATATCGTATGTAATTTAATTTAATTTAATTCTTCCAATTAGTTTGTGGGTAATTGGGCATATGATTACCATTGATAAAATTAATAAAAAATTGGTATTTGTTCATATTGAACGTCTAGCCAATATATCAATTTAAGAATATTATTAAGTAGATGAATACAATTGCATTTAACAATATTCTGTTTAAAACATAACTATTTATATAAATTATAATATTATATTTAAACAATAAAATATAATAATATATGCCGTCTTAGCTCAGCCGGTAGAGCGCATGGCTTTTAACCATGTGGTCGTGGGTTCGATTCCCACAGACGGCGCTTTTAGTTCTTTTTAGAAAAACATGTGTTATTTTGCAAAAAAATATAAATACATGATTGAAGCAATACAGTACGTCAGAAAAATGATATGTGCATATTTAGTATGAAATATGTTCATATTAGGAAAAAAATAA